CGTTGAAAGGCAAAACTGTCCGCTGAAGATCTTTCCAAGCTGCCTCCTTTTTGCTGTTCAGGTATATGGATGTTTACTTCCTCTCTTAAAATCTGTTTAATGTTAACGTTGTAGCCTTGCCATGTTTGTGTTTGAAACTTTTGATTTGGCAGAAGGCAATGGGAAGAATATCGTTGGCTTATGTTTTGTAGGTTACAGCTGTTGTCTTTTGATGCTTTTTTGCACGTTGGGCATGGTAGGGTTTGAAATCTATTTGGTGTTGTTCTTAGGATGCGATTTGGTAGGTAGGCGTTTGTCATGAAAACAGAGATTGACGTTTACATGGGTTGCTTGTTTGAGAATGTATGTGATGTTTATGTGTCGGATAAAGATGGCAGAAATCTTCTATCTTTGCATGTTTTGTGTTATTTTGAATGTACTCCTAAAGATTTGTGTTGAAGGGGATGGGCTTAATAAGAACTTGGGTTTGTTTCTGGTTTGGATTTGGTATTAAGTTTGCCGTGTATGAACTGCATGATCCTTCCAGCTTCCTGTTGCTTCGCATAGTTAGCGAGATAAAAGAAAAGTTGCAGAAGGTGTTCTGATTCGCATGCCTTTACCTGATGTTTTTTTTTGGTGTTAAATTTACAAGTTTCATGATGCAAAGTGAGAAGATTGTGTCGCCTGTGTTCAGATGGTTTTAGTTGATGTTTGTGCATGAGAATCTGCTGCAACAAGTTCGAAACCTTTGGCTTGTTGCAGCTATGTTCGAAACTTTTGGCTTGTTCGAATCTACTGCTGCAGTTTTGTTGCAGCTATGTTCAAAGCTCCAAGTTCATTTTCTTTTGCTGATTTCATACCCAACCCCTGTTTGATTCTTGGGGTAAACAATGATATTTGGTTGACGTTTTGGCAAATCATGTTAGAGGATTTGGATGGCTTTGTTTGTTAGAGTTGCAAGTTATGAGAAAAATTGCAGCTAGTTAGTTGCAGAAACAAATTTCCTTCGTAAGTTGCATGCTTTGCATGAAAAGAAAAATGTGTCCAAGAACATTGCACTTTAACCCCCTCAAGTTTCCCCTTATGCCACTATGACCCAGAAAATTGGGAAAACTAATCAATTTGGTCCCTGTCATTTTGCAGCAATGCTACAAAGACCCAATTAGATTCTATTTTCTTGCAAATAGGTCTTAGAATAATTGCAATTTGAGCCATTAATTGACCTTTTCTTGCTCTTGGATTTTCAAAATTCCTAAAATGTTTCAATTGGACTTGATTGATTGATTAAGGGTTGCTATGGGATCCTTAGTCAGTTTTGCTATTTTAGAAATTTGATCAATGACTCACTTTTGCTTAGAATTCATGCATTATTTGATCATTTCTAAGTTGTAAAGTGAGGAAGAATTCGATGTTTGATGGATTCCGATTGTCTTATTTACATTTTATTATTAAATTGGTGCATTAATCCTTTGCTTTGGATGGTTTTAGCCCAAGTTATCCCGTTCTTTGGTGACTTTAGCCCAATTTAAGTCTTGTCCACTTTATTAGCACCACAAAAAGGGGGAGGTATAATTTCTTTTATCCTTTTTTTGTCTCTCCTATGTGATCCAACGTGCTAAGTGAATTGCATGTCTACGTTGCTTTCCTTGTCTTTCTTTGATTCCCTTCGCTTATTTCATTTACTCTTACTTTTTGTTAAGTTATTCTTTTATGGGGTATGTGTACACCTCTTGGCTTGTAATAGATAGGGCTTGGCGAGCATTCTTGTCCATTTTTCCCTTTCCCCTTTTGTTTTAGTTAGCAAATGTAATAGGTTCATTAGCTTGGTTATTCGCTTTTGTTGCTATGTGTTAATTTGCTTTATTAGGTTCTTGCATCTAGTCGAGCATGCTAAGTGTTATGTGCTATGTGTTTATAGGTGATTGACATGTCTACTCGCTTTTTATAGTCATGAATGAATGTGATAGATGAATGTACGTCACCACACTAGTCCAACACTAGTTGTGGCTCATTATCCTGTTTTTCACTAGTCCAACGCTAGTAGGAATTCATAGAAAGGGCTAGTCCAATGCTAGACCCATTAGGCCCGTCCCTCTCGCTAGTGCATTTTTTGTGTGTCTCACTACATTCCATGCATTTTCCTTAGTTTTCTAGCATTTGGCATGCTCCTCCAACCCTTTCCCCTTCATTTTAGGTTTCGCATCCTCATGCTAGTTATAGGGTACATTTGCTTGAGAGTCCCCTTTCGATAAGGGAAACGAGCGAGTGTGGCAACAAAATAGCCTTAGCACGCTAGTTCTCCCTTCTAATCAAAGGAAAAATCAAAGTCATGAAATTAGGAGTCATTCCCGTACTCGACTTGATGCATTCCTCTAGGTTCATACGTTCTCATTTTTATCATATCACTTTTATCACTTTCTTTATCCACATTCTTTCACTACTTATATTTTTCTCAATCCACATGCCATGTTCACATATTTTTCTTCTTATCACTTGTTTTTCTACCTCACAAATTGCACCCAATTGCACTTATATGTATCTACTATCATATTTTCATCCATTTGCACACAAGCACCTTTATTTTCCCAATTTGCACACATGCACTTGTCTTACATTCGCACACATGCACGTTTTCTTACATTTTCACACTTGCACTCATATTTGAGTTTTCATTTGCATCATTCGCGACCTCTATGAGAACTTTCCTTATTGGCCACTACAACTCATGTGGTTGGGACCAAAAAGCCTCGTAAGAGACATTTTAGATTTAGAATTGCATTTCTTTTTCATATCCATTAGTCATATCCAACATGCAACGCATATTTTGGGTAGAAGAATTAGGAAACGTGGGGCTAAATCGCGCAACTAGCTTTGGCTAGGATAAGGGAGTGCCTTAGACTTTGCCTTTGCCTTCTCCCTTATCAAATGTGACCCCCGATCCCTCTCTTTGGTTGCGTAGAAAATGCAAAAGCTTTAAATTAATAATTTAGTAGTTAACAAATATTATCGAAGTAACATTTTTGAAATAGAAGAAAATTATCCTATATTTTTAAAAACAATTGGTCTTATTAGTGGAAGCTAATACAAAGTGACACAATTGATTTATATTTATTAGATATGCACAAAATTTTTGTCAATATATATATTTTTCAGAAAATCATTATTTTTGTTGATATATATATTTTGGAGAAAATGAATATATATATATATATATATATAGATAAAGGCACACAAATAGGATGCAATAATATATATAGATTTGTATAGCCTAAAAATTCGTGCTGCATTAGGGAATGGAAGGTACCAACTGGAACAAACAAAACCAAAGAAACAATAATTAAGTGAGATGACATCTAAAGACCACAAGGTACAAAATTGATAGGGAAATTACGAAGAGACTAGCACAAAAGAGGACAAAATCAACACCGACATTACAAAATAATCGGCATCCAAGGATAATTGAAGCAGCGGACAAAAGAGGACGTGGAAGGAGAATTGCACCAGCGGACAAAAGAGACAAAATCAACACCGAAATTACAAAATAACCGGCGAAAATCACTGTAGCAAGCCCTTTGGCGCTTTATGTAGTTAGAGATTTCCAATTACCATCGCTCCTTTTTTTGCTCAAAGAAAGAAAATATGGGCCCATTGCTCTCTGCTTGTTATGCGCGTTCATTCATCTGGAATTAGGGGTGGACAAAATTATCCGCTAACTCGAAAACCCGTCATATCCGATCCGAAAATTAGGATATCCGATTTTTATTATTTGATCGGGTCAAAAGAGGGTCGGGTACCCGCTAAGATGCGGGGCGGGTTAGGTCACATAATTAAAAATCCGTGGGTACCCGATCCGCCCCGCATATATATATTTTTTTTATTTTATTTTTATTTTTATACACACACTATAAAATAATAAGAACTAAATAAGTAATTTTATTGAACAAATTGCAATACAAATATGAGAGACTATAGTTTATTTACAAGATTCATTTGTAGAGGCCATGATCTTATATTTTATAGAAAAAAGTTTAATTAATGTGGAATATATATATTAAAATTGTGCTACTTATTTCAAACTTTTATTCATTTCGAATTCTTTTAATTTTTTTTCCTTTATCTTATATTTTCTTCACATACTTGTTTCTTGGTGGGAAATCTTTTTTTAGAAAAAAATATTTCTTAAATCTTAGATGAATGTGTAAAATATAAAATTAAATTGGTATAAATTATTTTTTTAATTAAATGATAAATGGGGCAGGACGGGTATCCGTTGACCCGACCCTATCTCAGCTGGTACCCGCTGATATGTAGGGCGGGTAAGGGTTAAAAAATGACTGACCCGCAAGGTGCGGGTCGGATCAGCCAATTATTGAATGAGGCGGGTACCCGACCCGCGCCCACCCCTATCTGAAATGATTCCTTTTCTCTTTTTTAAAATAATTTCTTGCATTTTTATACCTGAATATTAGCGCTTTAGGTTTTCCTCCTATTAATTTGTTATAAATCAAACAATTTGGAGTTTATGTATAAGCATACAGTGGTTTGGTTTTCTAATCTGCTTGGGGATTTTTCTTGATACAAAAGAATGTAAATGCTAATGACAGTAATTCTCTCTATTGTGAGGCACTTCTTCACTCCTAGTATTTTTCCTATATTCCTTTGTTTGGCAAATAAATTAATTAACTAGATCAGTTCATATTGGTTTCAGAAGGAACACAAAGTATAAACTGCTTTCAGTTGTCACCAATATCATTTGCAAATTACTCCCTCCGTCCCACTTTGATAGTCCTGTATTTCTTTTTCATTTGTCCCAAATTGTAGTCCACTTTCCAATTGAAAATGTAGTTGTATTTTAATTTGTCTAAAATACCCTTATTCAATGTAAGTAGTTGTTACTATAAACTTATCTCATTTAATGAGAGTTGATTCTTTTTTTACCATTAATTCAAACTCCCATAAAGTTGTACCATATTTAATGTGAGAGTATTTTAGAAAAATAGCAATCTAAATTTACTTTTCCAACAAATTTAACTACTTTTTCTTAAACTGTGTGAAAAAAGAAACAGGACTATCAAAGTGGGACGGAGGGAGTATGAATTTTTAGCTTTAAACTGATAATCATTCAGCGTTTGTTTGGTTGGACCTCGAAAATGTTTTCCTAATTTTCCACTGTTTGGACTTTGGACGCAATCTAATTTGGGAAAATGATTTCTAATGAAAAATAACTTTGAGAAGGAAAATTTCTTCCTTACCTACTATTCTGAAGTTATTTTCCTCTCTTAATCACGGCCTCTTCTTTTCACCGCCCATTGAAGACCATCGGCAAACCACCTTCTTGGCCGGCGGCATTTCCAGCTCCGGCGAAGACCGACTTCTTTTTAAAAATTTCTGTCTCCATCTCCAGCTCCCGCGGCATCCAAACGTAGGCTACTCTTTTAATTAGATCATTATCTTTTTAAAAATCAGCTGCTATATTATCATCTACTCTTTCACGGCATCTCCATCTCCAGCTCCTGCTCCGGCGGCATCCAGAGGTAGGCTACTCTTTTAATTAGATCATTATCTTTTTAAAAATCAGCTTAATTATCATCTCTCTCTCTCTCTCTCTCATTTTTTTTTCTTTTAAAAGCAGCCAATATTAACGGCTTATCCCCCTGTGGCAGCGACATCTCATCCCCATTCCTCCAACAGCACCTCCAACAAGGGCGAAGACTCCTTAAGCATTTCCAGAGGTACGATCGTCTCTTATTAGTTTTTTTCCTCCCTTTTCTTTTGAAAAATTGTCCACAATTACTGGTGTAGATTCTTGAAGTTGGATTGGATGAATTTTTGTGGGTTGCTTTTGTTTTAGTTTGATAAAAATTCTTGTACCACTTTAAATCATACGAAATTTTGTATAAGCTGCCAAGTTTTTTTGTTACAGAGAAAGTGATGAATTCCTATTTCACAATCTTGCCAAATGCTGGTGGTGGTTGGAAAATGCCCCTTCAGCATAAGTCTTAATTTTAAAGGTTGATTTAGCAATTTTAGAAGGATTAAGTGTTGACTATGAATATTTGAAGTTTGAGGCCACTGATTAAAAAGACGTTTGGTCAAGCTGTCAACACAGAGTGGTGATTATTTTATCACACGTACATGCATTTGCTGGCCACAATTAGCACAAAGACATTTAGAAAAACCTTAAGGGATAATTTTAGAAGCCTTCGTAAACATTTTCGTTGCATGTTTGTGGGTGTAAATCAGAAAAATGTCGGTGCTATGCTTTAGTGAAATACTTTTCACGGCAAGCAGCAAATCTGTCAACCGGAACTGACTCTTTCCAATCTCTCAGCTTCTTTCTTGCTCTTCGCCTTCTTCGCATACTCTTAGACGACAAACTTGGCTTGTTTCTGATCAACGTTCACAAATAACTTGTACTTGGCCTTTTCTGATCAACAACTTTGCTAGTAGATTATGGTCTTGTTTCTGTTCAATTACTTTGTTCATTTCACTTTTTTCTGATACCTGTAGATGTGATCAGTGTACATATGAGCTGTCATATTTAATGATTGAAGCATTGCTCCCCTTGTTTGTTGAACACAGAAAGATAATTTGTCTATGGTAAAGATAAGACAGATGGGGGTGGGGCTGTACTTGTGTTAGCAGTAATTAAAATGATGGAGATGGCCATGCAACCATCTTTTCTTTTACATATGATGTCTCTTTCTTTCTCACGGGTATGGTAATATTGTCCATTAACATCCCAACTGCATTCATCATTTTATATAATGCTTCAACCGCTCCATTGGATTTAACTTTAATAGAACCCTATGATTAGCTAGCTATCTTTTTTTTACCCATTTTTTTCCTTGTTCATGATCAAGAATAGGAATTCATCAAGAAAAGTATCAAAAAATGCACTAGTTTTGTTTTCTTTTGATGAGAGAGGGAACTCAATATGTGTAGCAGTACTGTTTCTGATCAAATAAATAAAAGCAAGTGGAAAAATCAAGAATTGTTGCCTGGTGTAACTTACACCCAGGTTCACATGCACACATGCACAGATTACTCCTAATGATTTCCTTTCTCTATGACAATGGAAAAGTCAGCCACTGGTGAAATTTTGTCTCGGTTTGACTATAGATTAGGACATTTGGGTAGCATAAATTTGTTCAAAGTAAGAATCTTGCTAGAGAATTCCAAAGTACTTTTCATATCTCTTAATTCACACACTTGTGCAGATGATGTTATGGATTTAGACATCAATCCTAGTCAGATGTAATTTTGATGACAGAGGGAACTCAATATGTGTGGCTAAACTCAGCAAGATGCACCTGTAATAGTTCAGAACTGTACATATTACTATTTTACCACACATATTGATAATGTGTATGATGTCTCACAAACTATACACGTACAAAGTACATATTAATTTGTGCTAACTTATTATCTAGTATTAGTTTCAGAGTATATTATCATGTGTATGATGTTCAAGGTGCATGCTGGGATAGTGATGAAAATTGAGAAACCCCTCCTACTTCGTCAACATTAGTTGGTCTCACAGCCCTGACTAAAGCTCTCCTCCTCAATGTTACCATTAGCCTTTTCCACTGCAGAATTTCCATATGAAAACTTCCTATACCGGCATACATTAAGTTGTTTGAGCAACAACAGTAGTTGTTTGGTACTAACTAGTTTCGGGATACTTTGAATAACAACATTAGTAGTTTGGTACATAAACATTGCATGCTTGGTACATACACAAGAGGGGAATTAACAGTACTAACATTGTTCTCCTCCCCCCTCCCTCTCCCTCCCCTTCCCCCTCCCCCTCCCCCTCTTGTGTTTATGAACATTGCATGTTGTCTTGGGTATTAACTATTACATTCTTCCATTGTTAACTAGCCACTGAATAACAAAACTTGTTATATGTAAATGCTTCCATTGTAAATGCGTCCATTGTTTAAGCAATGAGTGGAAGGCTGAAATGCATTGTCAATATATGTAAAGTAGTATTTTCTTTTCCACATTTTCTTGGAAACATTCTTGGAGAAAACTGGAAGTATTACCTGCCTTCCTCTTTTTGATCTTTTGCATCTGCAGACAAATGCAACCTGAATTTTGGATATGCTTTCAAGTGTATAAGTAGTTTTCTCACGATCTTTTTGTTATATTGTTGATTGAAATTTCTGGTTTATGATTATGCAGCAAAATCCAGGGCATGACAAGTATGTTCACAATAAAATCGAATTGTATGATGAAATGGCTGTTGTGGTTGGAAAAGATCTGGCCACCAGGTCTTTTGCAAAATCATTTGTCAATGTGAATTTGGAAACTCCATTTGTTCCTAAGACAAGTGTAGAGACAAGTGAAGAGACGAGTGTAGAGACAAGTGTGCAAAAGGATGTGACTAGTGCAAGATCCTCAGAAGTGAGAGCAATATCGTCGGGAACAAAACAACATCGTAAAAGAAATTGCAGCAATGAAGATATTGAAAAGATGTCTCAACAACTTGGAGAAGTGGCAGCTGCTTTGAACAAAATTAGTGCAAACAAGCTTGATATCAGCCAATTACATGATGAGATTATGAAGATAGAAGGTTATAGCGGAGAATTTCTGTACTTGGTATTCGATCATTTGGTGCAAAATGAGAAGCTGGGAAAAGCATTTATGGCGAAGAGTCAAAGACTTCGTTTGATTTCTCTCGAGAGGTTCAAGAAATATTGGGGTGAATGAAGTACTTATTATGTGATGGCAGCAAGAAAGTAACAGAAACTGTATTATAATCAAGCATCATATTCTTGGAAAGTCTCTTCAACTGCATAGTGTTTTTGATTGTCATTTTCTTTTGTATTTATAGGAAAACCACTTGCCTTGTTTTGGAAGTACTAGAATTCCAGAATTCTCTGCTTAAAGTAATATACCAATTCCTTTGCACCCGTTTTTGTTATGAAGTAGTGAGATTAACAGCCTAGTAGCCATTTTTAAGATTGTTAAACTGCTTTACAGCTGTTCTGGCAAAATTCCATTGCTCTTGAAGTGGTGCGATGGTCATCAGCCAGCAAGTTTAGAGATGATGATTGCAAAATTTCTTTGCAGTGCTGTAGAGTGTGTTTTTTCGTTGATATTAGCCTGTGCCCTGATCTGTTGGAGGTTTATGTCATTTTTCTTTAATCATCTGATATATGTTTGTTTTGGATAATATGACCGGCGGTTTCCATTTGGCTAAAACATTTGGTTGAAATATCTTTATTCATTGAAATTTTAAGTTTCTGGTAGTTGCAGGGGTTCATTAGCATTGAGGTTCTTAACTTAAAAGAATAATTGTTAAAAATGAAGGTCAAAAGCCGATTCATTAGTGTCATTAATAATTTCATTTAAGGATTTATGGTGTAATTTGAATAAATATCTTATAAAATTGATAATATGATTATAATGGATAGAAAATAAAAATAACTTGTAATGAGATGAATGTTTTGAGAACAGAAAAACATTTACAACATATCAACAAACACTAGAAAAGAAAGTTAGAAAATATTTTCACTCACAAACCAAATAGCGGAAAATTATGAAAAAAGGAATTTGAAAAATATTTTCACTAAACAACTAAACACTAGAAAATTATGGAGAAGGAAGTGATTTTTCAGGATAATGACTTTAACGGAAAACACTAGGGAAAATATTTTCAGTCCAACGAAATGGACCCTCAGCCTCTTACTTGCTGACCTCAGTTTCAACAACAATATTAGCTAAAAAGGTATAAGAAGATTGACAAATAATGGCATTGCCAGCATCCTAGTGTACATCTTGAAACTCGTTTAATAAGCTCAAGAAGTTGATCAATAACGTTTGTCACATAATTATGGAAAAAGAAGAAAAGAATCGAAAAAGATAAATTTTGCAGTATATGTGATTTTGGGATTTTTAGGTGATAATCATGATTTTGGAATTAATATTTACCTACAATTCAAAACCTTGACGTGGTTATTCAAGTTTATATCTTACTTCAAAAATGAAGCTCAAAATTTCTTCCATGATCAAGGTTATCCCTTGCTTTTCTCGAATTAACTAAGCAATATTATTCCATTAATTATACAATTTATATATGCTACAGCATTTTTTCCCCTTGTTTTGGCTAAACAAAAAGGATTGATGGTCACAAAAGCGTGGTACAACTAATGGCTGTTCTTGAGTAGTGTCCACGTCTTTGAGCTCCTAAATAGCTGATTATTTTTCTAAATATGTATTTGGCTTGATGTAGTGGTGGAGCAAAGAATTTTGTTCTGTGAAGCAATTTTCTTAATCTTAAATTTTATTAATTTTAAATTAGGATTTCCTGAATTTCCACCTAACTTGCAGTTGATATTTCTTTCCCTTTTGCTTTCCTTTCTGTTTTATCTTTCTACTAATGTTTCTTTTTTCTATCTTTGCTGCTTGGATAATATCTACTTTATCCTAAGCACAAGGGCTCACAGTCTTGCTCTCTCCAACTTGCTCCTACTATTGCCAAGTATGTTTTCTGGTTCAATCTATCCTTAGTGCATTTTTTAAAAGTTAAAAATAGTTTGATCTTAATGTCACATGTAGCAGGTTTTGAATTCTACATTTTTGAACTATTTAGTTAGCGATAACGTGTGCTTACTTGAAGGCTTTTACGTTTTGTATTATCCATGCTCATTTGGTGCTTGAAGGTTTAGTTAGCCATGCATAAGTTCAGTTTTGCTTTGTTTTATAGTTGTTCCATCCTTATCGTTTATCTTTTGCGGTTTGGATGAGATATATAAGAATCATCAAATCTAAGACAGCTACATGTTGTTGACTTAGCAATTTTGTCATCTTTAACTTAATAGATTAGTATATTCCTTTTCTTATTAATTTCTCATGAATGAGAAGCACGATAGTGCTATTCAATACATGGACAAAGGTAGTTATAGAAAGCAAGCTATCAAAAATGGAAACAAAAACGATTAGATAGCATACTGCATTTTCATGTTGCAGGAACTTCAAATGTGATCAATTTACCTCATTTTATGCCCGTGAACACGAATAATAGTTAACTATCTATGAGAGTTTCGCTCCCATTTCTAGAATATAAAATTTCTAGCATAAGCAATAATAGGGGACATAGAGTTATGAGATATAGAGATGAAAAATCTCAGAGAAGCGAACTGCTTCGACCCATGCCTTTGACAACACATCAGCCTTCTATACTTAGACCTCACAATCTTCCTTCGACGCTGCCTATGAATTCCAATGATATGTGGACATCAATGGATGCATCATTTGCATGCATTGGAATTGAGCCTTCCAATTTGATAGCTTGTGAGATTGAGCGCATTGTTAGATTAGAAAGCCAAAATCCCAGATTAATTGTCTACATGAAGGTTAGCACATAGAAGTTGAAAATGCTAATCCTTGCAGACTTTGAACTCTATTTAGGCTGTTATTCCTCAGCCTATGAGCTTATTTAATTTCCCATTTGCAAGCTTAAATGTTGTGCATTCATTTGTTAATGCACCATTAGAGTTCTCGATAGCAAAAAAAATTTGCTATGGCAGATAACAAGAGACAAAGAGTTCTAATATTAAAAAATAAAAGGTGTGATATGTTGGGGATAATACAAGATAAAAATGGCTAAAAGTTGCAAAGCAAATGATACCAAAAAAAAAAACTTCAAATCGTGACTCAAGATCACTTTTTTTTTAGATTTTATTTGTCCAAAATTTTGTGTGCAATGACTTTGGACAAATATTCTTTAGGATAATTTGAAGGGTGTTTGACTTAACTCTTGCACAAAGTTAGACAAACCTACTTGAACTATGGTGTGTTTTTGCAGATAATTCTAGTAGTAGGATAATGATCTTCTGCAACAAACCATCCCTACTAGACCTTTATAGAGTAGATTGAAAATGATCAAGAGTTGCAACTTTTCACACATATCTGTGTATTTGTGTTGGTTAGAAAGTTCTTTAACATCAATGCAAGTGTTCAGACAGTTTTTTTTGGATATTTAAACACTATTTAGATGATAATTAATTTTCAAAAACATGAAAAGGTGCCATGTAGATTTGAACAACTTCTGAGCATTGCAAGAACTAGACAGTGATAGGTCTTATGTTGGGTCCTAAGATGAATCCCTATCTTGCAATTGATCAAATATTGAAAATATTCAACAATCCCCAGCAATTTTCAAAATTTAGAAAATAGACTTCTGAAGGTCACAGAATAATCTGACAATTATATGCATAAATAATGGTATCTTTCGATTAAATCACTCTTTTAGTGAATGTTCTTTAAAACTAATTAATACAAAATGGAAGGCCAATTTTGAACCACTTGTACATTAGATTGGTCTCATAAACACATCACACATAGATCAATACACAACCATATGTTCTTTGATGATACATTTTACGGCCTTGTATTACTATCATATCATGAATGTTTTAAAGCAAAATCCTTACCTTTGTAGTTTGCTAAACTTACATTCATATAGGTGACATCTTAGTGCCCCGCCATTAATTGCACTTTCAAGATTCGTTAAGAGTCAATAATTCAACATAAATGTAATTAGGCGAGAATAAAACGCACCATTTTACCTTGGGATGAAAAACAATATAGTGTACCAACCATTTGAATGATGTACTTTTGCTCATTGAATTCAAGACTAGACATTGTATCTAACGTTGAATTGAGGTTCCACCGTTAATAGTCATTAAGTTTGGATTTTAAACTCATCCCTCTTGATATCTTTAACACAAAGTCTCTTGATAATCCTTTCATTAAAGGATCACTCAAGTTTTCACTAGACCTCACAAAGTCAATTGATATGACTCCATTTGTTATCAAATCCTTCATATAACTATGTCTCAAACCAATAGGCCTTGATTTGCCATTATACACTTAACTATATGCCTTAGCAAGTGTGGCTACATTGTTGTAATGTATTAAAATAGGCAACTATTGCTTTTTTGGGATACAAGGTAGCAGAAAATTCAAAAATTTTTCCCAAAAATCACTTAAGATCACTCTAGGTTCTGCATATGGTTCAAGAAGAAAGGGAAAAACAATTACCTTAATCTATGTGAAGTTCCTCTGAGGTATTGGAGAAGATGAACAACCCTTTGAGCAGTCCAGATGTCCTGCCTACCAAAATCCATGCAAGAGTGATATCTGGGTCATCTCTACTATTTATGTGTGAAAGTGATCAAAGTTGCTAGCCTTTCTTTTCACCTTTACTTGTTCATTTTTTCTCTCTATGTATGTCTCACATATTTTTCATTCTACACTCTCTATGTTTGTAATGAAATCTTCTTCCCTTTGAAAAGTCAAAGGTTTTCGTCGTACTAATGGAGATAGGATTGAGAGAAAGAAAAAGAGAGATATGTTCTTATCATTTGATTCAAAATCAACGAAAATTTATCCAATAACAAACTCTATCTTTCATCTATTTGATACATAGGAGATAATTATTTTCTCCTATCTGCTCAAATAGGTCTAGAATTTATTTTCTTTATAATTAAATCCGAAAGTATCTTATACTTTGTTTCTAAGTCTTCACTCGGACATATAGTTTTAATCCAGAATCAAAACTCTAATACGTGTGATCCAATAGGTTCCAAATACATTGGCAATAATTATGATTTATAATTCCCAAAAAGAATTAGATAAAATAAACAACTTTATTTTATCATTAATTACAGTAATTAATTAATTCATAATTATAATCATGAGCGGTGCCTAGTAACACGGCCACCCAAGTACTCGGAATTAGTCAAGAGAATTTTGATCTAATCTTTCATGAGGAGTTACCATGTAATTATTATCCTTTCATCACCGATATCCAATTAGTCAGGGAACAGGGAATGAGTGCCAATTCCCTAATGACTAATTAAATTTACTAACTTCTAGAATTAACCCCAGATTAGGTTAACTTGAA